CAGCGATTCCAGCAATTGGGCTCATTCCAAAGTGCTAGTTGGCACCCTATATACTTTCAGCAATCCGACTGGGGCACTTGGTCCTGAAGATGGCCGCTGCGGCAATTGCGTGCGTCAGAGCACTAACAAGGCACTTTCGCGTGTCCAAATTCCGCTCATTCACGGTCTGATTAAACGTTTGGAGAAGAAGGACCCTAAGTTGGGTTCGTATAAACCTGAGGTGGTCGTAGGATACCTTCGTGAGCACCTCCATTGGGCTGCGGCAAGGGTAACCATCTTTCCCAGGAATTACTATAAAAAATGACCAGAGGCTAACGGGCAAATCAGGCGAGTGGCACTGAAATTCCGCTGAAAGACCTGCCGTCTTTGAGAGTTGCTGTGTTGGCTGGTAAGGCGACACATTCCTTCGCAGGGCCTGGGATGAGTAGGTACGAGGATTATCATGTGGAGCATGGAATTACCAAGGATCGTGAAGGAGGATATGCAGTCCCTGAGTAATTCTCTATATGCGCATGCCAGGCAGTCTGCATGCATGATGGATTGAACCCGGTGCATGTGCTAGAAGGATGGCCAAGGGGTAGTACTGCAAGAGAGAATGCGATGAGCTTCGGTATTGTGTGTTAGTGATCTTCTTTCATTTCGTCTACGTAACTTGCTAGCCTTTTACTTGAAGGGGAAAAAAAAAAGGGACGAGAGGGGGGATACTTCTTTGCGATATGCTGGTTAAATTCTGATTTTGGACGGAGACTCGATTCTAATTGGTTCTGGTATTCAGTTTTTGACTTGTTTTGTGTTTCTCCAACTTGAAGTTTTATTTACACTCCAACCGTGTACCAATCCATAGCATGCGGCGTGGGAAGTGGGCGCGTGTAGATTGCCACCAAGGCCGGACGTTGGGCTCTGCAAGTTGTGTGGGTCAGGTGGCTATATAGGTCATAGCAGTACTAAAATATGCAATATTATTGCTTCGGTACAGATGACTAGCATGTGGCCACCTCGCGACCGCGAGGGTGAGTGCGAGGCTCGCGAGGGTGAGTGTAGGTGTAGCGGTAGTGGATTAGGGAGCGTTGTAGCCCCGTAAAGTCAGCATCAAGTGACTGTACACTCTTTACCAGTTCCATGACCGTACAATCTTGTTTATCTGCATGTATTCATATCAGTATATTGTCATTATTATTTATAATATCACGCAATTCTACTCCTGTATCCTGGAAGCTCTAGTACCAAATGTAGCTTCAGAAGGTGAATTTTAATATCTAATATATGTTTTGTAGAGTATAATTGTAGAAGTTATAGATAGCGAAACCCTTATTTTAGCCTATAGAATCTACGTAAATTTCTATTAATATCTATCTATAATAATATTACTTAGATATCTAGTATATACTTTTTTATATATATCTAGCTTTCTTATCTGCTTTCTAATACTATACTGTACTAATTTAGTAGTTTATAATATTGCTTTATATTGTACTATTAAGAGTAATTTACTAGATATATAAAATTATAAGTTAAGTTTATTTTAATATATTATATACTATTGAGTAAATCTTATTATATTTATTAAATTATACTTAAATAATACTATCTTACTTTATACTATAGATAGATACTAGTTATAAGTATAAATTAAGTTTATTTTATAATATATTATAATATTAAATAAGTACTACTATATTTATTAAATTTAATATATTCTATTATTTTTATATTTTAAAAAGTATTTTATAATATTTAATATAATTTTATTTTATAATATTAAAAAAAATATCTATTAAATTTGTTTTATTTTACTATATTAAATTATAATTTTTTTATAGTTTTAAAGAAAAATTATTTTAAATAAGTAAAAATATTAAAAAGTTTTTTTTTAACTAATAATATAAAAATAAAGTAAAGTATTATAGTAAATATTAATATAGTATTATAGATATAATATAGTTATAAAGATATATATATAGTATTATAAAAAATATATAAAGTTGCTAACACTAGCAATTAAGTATCTTAAATATTTTTTTCAAATGCATTTAACCTCTTTATAATATCATTAAGGTTTTCTATTATATATACTAAATTTCTCTGTAACAGATAATTACAAACGTTGCATTCCGATAATGCAAAGTCCCGTCTCTTTAGAGTCTCTTGGCGGAGCACAGATTCATGCATGTCTCATAATATATACTCGCACAGCTCAGCTCAGCCACTCCCCTGATCGACATGCACACGGGTTACGAAAATGCTTTCCCGCCTAGCTGAATCTTCAACTCTGTCCTCATCTGTTCACCAACAATGACCACAGCGATCAAAAGTACGTGCCCTGATTTTTGCGATCATGAGAAAATGTTTACATTGAGCTAAGCTAGTTTGAAGCTCATTTAACCCTTCTTTACCAGTTCGGAATATTTTGAGGTGGGATCTGGGGACGCGTGGCGCCCCCTGCGCTGCAAGGCAACCTCGGTCGTTCCCATCAGCGACGGTTCAAAGGGTATTATCGATAGGCACCATTGGATTGTGGCAGACAACGATTACACACCGGCAGTCTGCTCCGGCTCCGTCGACGTACGGCGACCTGGAAGTTCACCCAAGCCGGAAAAGGGGCAGAAACCTCCGGCGGCGATAAACCTGCGCCGGAAACCTGTTGCTGAAACCACCTCCGCCGGTTCGGCATCCCGGACCCTCTTCTCCGAGCTCTTAATATTTTTTTTCCGACATCAAATTAATATCCCCTCGCGGTGGACCTGATACTCCACCGCCCCTTCAGTCCCGCAAACATCTCACCCCCGACATATACCCCCCATGACTGCGCCTGGACTTCTCCCCTTCTCCACTGGGACTGGCCACCGACCCCGCCTCTCCCTTCGCAACGTCCTCGCCTCGCGCGACAATCTCAAGTCCTTCCTGCTGGCGCCCCTCCGCCATCTAACATCGCGCCCCGACCGCCTCTTCCCCGCGATCTTCCTGCTCGTCCTCTTCACCATCCTCTCCACCTTCGCCTTCCTACAGTTGCGCCCCTCCAATGGCGGCTATGACGGCCTCGACTATAGTTCGGCTCCATGGACTTCCTGGTCGATTGTGGAACCGCATCACGCCTATGTCTTCTACGCCACCAACTACGACTACGCCTGCAGCGCCCTCGTCAACATCGACCGCCTCCTGCACCACCCCACCATCAAGACCTCAGGCGCCCGCATCGGTGTATACCTTTCCAGTGACATGCCCAGCGCGGACGTCGACGATCTCGCTGGCGTCTTCGACCGACTTGCAGCGGAGACCAATGGTCGTGTCTTCGTGATCCACGCCCAGCCGCCCAAGGACAAGCTCAAGAAGCCCATGAAGTACTACAAGGACGTGCTTCTCAAGCTCGTCACCTTCGACCTTGGCATGCGGGACTTCTCCGAGGGTGGCCGAGCGACAGCCAACGTGTCGCACCCCGTCCTCGGTGATCTCGCCTTGCCAGCAGACGCCCCCCGCTTCACGCCGTGGGGTGAAGGCAAGCCCAAAGACGCGCCGCAAGCAGGCAACGAAAATCCTGCCCCATCCTCACCCCCCTCCTCCGCCACCTCCGCCATCTCCTCGCCTCCAGAATCGGCACCCATCAAGGTTGAACGCATGATCGTCTTCGATGCCGACCAGCTCATTCTCCGCAACCTCGACCACCTCTTCTCGCTGCCCCCCGTAGAAATCGCCGCACCCCGCAACTATTGGGGTTCGAACCTCCAAGCGCCCATGGGCTCCACCTCCACTCTCATGGTCGTCACTCCCAGCCCCTCTCTTTGGGGGCGCATGCAGGACGCCATGAACTCTCTCAAGGAGGGGGAATACGACATGGACCTCCTCAACCACGTCTTCGGCAACGAAATCCTCACGCTCCCGGGGCGGTACTGCACGCTCAATAGCCACTGGGAGGTCAACAACATGCCATTCTGGTACCACCACGACAGCCCCGCACACGAGCACACCTCGTTGCTCGCCACACCGTATCTCTACCCACATGATCGTACTTCCGGGAAGCAGATATACGATGAGTTATACAAATCTTGGCGGAATCTAATGCCGTTAAAGCTGACAGCTGACATGGGGCTGCCCATGACCGGGACGAGCTACACTTCTGCTCACAAGCCACCTAGGGAGAAGTGGGCGGAGGACCCGGGGGTCGGGTTGCTGCTCGATGCCGAGGTGGTGCATTTCACTGCGCTGGGTAAGCCCTGGAGTCGGCCAGTTGATGATGTAACGACAGCCCGACCCGATGCGCATTGGGTGTTTGTGGAGCTGTTTGGAGAGTGGAGGGCGAATGCCGCGAGGGTATGTCCGGGGTGGTTACGGAGGTATTATGAGGTTTGAGGCGGAATGAGAAAAGGAAAGGGGTGGCTTCTCCCTATTCCCTATTCATTGTCTTATTATTTTATCACTGATTTATCGATTTTCTTTTTTTTTTTCCCGCACTTGATTCCCCTCATATATTTCCTTTGTTCCTCCTTTCTCGTTTCCTAACCTTTTCTTTACTTTTTCGGCTTTTATTTCTCCCACTTCAAGTTTATCTCTCCACATTTATTGCCAAGACATGCGGATATCTTTACATTTGGTTTTCATGAACAGCAGTTCTCATGGGTACCCTAGATTACTTACCATTTCCTTCCGCCATTTGTATACTAGGGGAGGGGAAGGGGGAGGAGGAGCGTGGGGTTATACGTTGATGAAGGTAATAGTGCTCGTCATGACTGGAACTGAGCACTGTAGGAATCAGTCCGTGGGCTTGCAACGATTGAATTCTCCGCCGGAACATTCAAGTCGGTAGACAAATAAGAAAATGGCTCCTGCAGGAGAGTTTGCCTCATCTGCGGTTTCAATCAACAAATGCCCCACATATGCATACTCATCCATAGCACCGTTGCACATCTACGTAGCCATACGCCAAATCAACAGCCAACGCCTCCCCCTGCTAAAAATTAAATAAACTTAACTCAGAGTTCACATTGCAAAACAAGCTAAAAAGTAAATCCCTCCGACCAGAGTCGAACTGGTGACCAACCGGTACTCCGCAAGAAGAAGATCCATTACAGCCGGGTGTGATACCAACTACACCACAAAGGGATATATGAACATGTTGTTTTTTCGTACTCTTCTTACTAGGATGATTACAGCGTGTACAGTACATTTAACGCAATGATTACATAACAATTCCTTAGCTAGTGACATCAGACCTGGTAGTAATAACATCAAATTCAAAGCCGAACCTTGATCCCACGCTAGCAAGCTCCGAATTCTCCCACCAAAAATTGCCTTACAACTAACGGGGTGACAATGGCTAAAGCAAGAAACACTCTGACTCATTCGAACGCAATATCCTATGTCGTCCGGAGTAGAAAGATATGTTTACCGTACCCTGGTACATGGAAAGGCAATATATTGCTGCAAATAAGTATACGAAATTAGTGGTTGTCACTGAACAACCGGGCCAGAAAAAATAAGCCAGCCAAACTAGGCAGGTGTCGTGAGGTACCCCTTTTACCCTTGCGAGTCATCTGAACCAAAATTACATACGCATATCAACTTTACCTGCAACAAGCCCTCTCTAAGTCACTGACCTGTAATACAACAGACGCTTACGAGCGACATAAAAGCTATCATGACACTTATGATTTAATTCAGATTTAGACTCCAATTTAGATTTGAAGAAAATTGTAGAAAAGTCGATAATTATGTGTCAACGTAATTTCGCATGTAGAATGCAATAAGCCACACAGTGGTGGGTGGCAACTCGGGTGTATATAGCCTAATTTCAACAAAAATTGATGTGCTGGGTGAGAATATATAACGAGTTATTCACAAAATGGGGCTATTTTAATGAAATGAAGTCAGAATTGTTTTTTTCTCTCCGCGATCGCTGGATACTGTCAAAATGTCTCCTCAACGCAGAAACGTACCATGGACGAGCCACTGCAGTAGAGAGGATGCGATATCAAGTGGCTCTAGTTGCAGGGTCCTTAGCAATAGGGCCAGAAACCAGAGAATAGCGGGGGAAAAAAAACTTTAATCAATCATTCTGGCTCTATCTGTTTTGTAGGAAGTCATTAACAAACTCATAGTAAACAGCATACGTACAAATCCTGTGTCACACGAGAACTCCGATGAAGAATACACCAACAATGTGGGGGTTACTAAACTCACCCTGTTTCGATGAGTCTAACTGATTGCCCCCCTATAGCGTGGAGTGATTCGGAAGTTACCGACAGAAAGCAATACTGGGCGGAAGCAGTTTCGATACTTTGAGACGGAGGATGCTCTTGGCATACGTTATGCGATTGCCAACGAATCAATTCCAGAACAAGTTCACGATAGTATCAGACTAGGGAGTAGTTCCTTTGATCGCGCTCTCAAGGAGGGAGCTGGAATGGCTGCGCCACGCGCTTGAAAATCCTGTGGAAAGAATTTTATCCTCGAACCTGAATCATTGGGTCTAGATCCTTAGAACCCATCTCTTGTGAGCCACATCTGTCTTCATCAGCGTTTATTCAATTTTATTCCGAAAGCAGGAATAAATTCTGTGAGTCGAATCATCTGGCGAGACTCCATCGTCATGGATCAGAGCAGCGCCAGCGCCTATAGGGCATATCCACTAGCAACGCCTAAACAGTACCTCAACTGATACTAGTAGCCTTAACCAACACCAGTACCTCAACCAATATCAGTATCTCCACCGACATTAATACATACACCTCGAATCTCACATTCCCAAGTCAGTTTACCCGATGAGGGTCGTCCCTTACCAACACCAGTGGAGCAAACAGCTATGGTAATAAGGAGAATTTTGGAATGAAATCACAAAAACATTAGGATGAGCAATCCTAGAGATACAATGACTACTCTCCTTATTCAATTGAAGGCTGAAGATAGAAAGGAATCTAAACAATCGAGGAATGCAAAATGATTCTGATCTCAAACAAGCTTCCATTATTGAAGAATCATGTGGATGCAATGGACAACGGTAGTGAGCGGCACGAGTCGAGCCAGCTCGAGCTCAAACGAGCCAAGATCATGCTTGTGTTTTTCTTGACAGCTCGCTAAAATGCTTAGCCAGTGCAAGGTTTCATAAACTGTAAATACCTAATATAGTAATAATTAGAGACTTGGAGCTCATTCTGACCTACCAACAACTTCGAAATGCACAATTTAGCTGATAGTAGTGAGAAAGATGAAAATTTAGCTTAGTTTAGTTTAGTTTGTCAATATTATATATATAATCAATCCAGGCTCGAGCTCACCCTCCAGCTCGGCTCGAGCTAGCTCGTGCCGCTCACTAGACAACGGTAAATCAATAATAGGAAGATAAAGGAGAAGCTTGAGGTGGACTGAAAGTAACAAAACAATAGCGCCGAAATCTTCTACTCGCCTGGTCTCAAAGGTGAGAAAGAAGACCTAGTGTTACGTGGGTTTCTCCAGATGATGGGCCTGTCTACCGGTACCAGAGATTCGAGAAAGCAAATTGAAACAAGTGAGCTAGATTTGCTTGTAACTACCATTAAAGATATACAGAAGGATTCATAAAACAAGACGTCAATACAATCGGAGAAACCACCAAATCTGTCGGCGAGTTTACAAGCTCTAGTGCAGCTACTGGCTCCATCGTGTACCTTTTCATCACCTCATTCTTTACTATTCAAATCATGATTTGCTACCGTTAAAAACACCTACACATCTCCTATGGGGAAAATTTTGTCTATATTACATAACACAAAACACAAGCTACAGGGTATTAACCCCACAATACTGGTACCTCTTTTTTTTTTTTTTTTTTTTTATATCATTACTCGCGTGCCGCCCTGGGGGCTATGGCGAGATTAGTTACATGAGATTAGATACATATGAAGGTAGAAGAAAAGGAATAAGAAAAGATCCTGTGTGTCTCCTATGCCCCTGCCCACTCCAAGATGTCTCTAAGTGGGTCTGTGTCCTTGCTCTTCGGAGGAGTGACCAAGTCTTGCATGCCTCCTGGCCACTTTCGTTTCCATGTCCTGCACCTAGTGAGCACATGTTCAGTAGTCTCCTCCTCCTCCCGACACCATCGACATTCTGGGCTGTCTGCTTTCCCGATTTCGTACTGCCATTTCCGTAGTAACTTGCCGCCTACTATTCCTGCTAGTGTGGCTATGTGTCGACTTCCAAGTCTTGTCAAGGGACGGTAGCTGAGCCCTAGCCGGTTTCTCTCTGTGGCGCGCTGATGTCTCGAGGTTTGTCGTATCCCATCTTCTGTTATGGTTTCATCTTGGTAGGGGAGGCATGTGCCTATTTTCGCAGCTGTGTCTGCCTCGGTGTTCCCTTTGACTCCTATATGGGACTTGACCCACATCACTGCAACGTCCCAGTCACCTCGGTCTGTTCTCGCTTTCCAGGCGTCTCTAACCAGTTTTGCCGGTCCTTTGTGGGTGGGCTCTTCCTGGGCGATCTTTAGGAGCTTGGATATCGATACCTTAGAGTCGGTTATGATCAGGAGTTCCCCAGCTTGATTGCGTAATGCTTCGCTCATGGCAATGAGTTCTGCATCATTGACAGTAGTCTGTTCCCCTAGGTATGTGGAAATAGAGGTGTCTTTTGCGTAGGTGCCTAGGCCTGTCTTATAATCTATCCTGCTCCCGTCAGTGTAGACGGAGTTCCACCCCTCGTCCTCGGCATTGGCTATGGCATTCTCGAACTCGAGCTTGTCTGCGTCCGCAGGTAGTGCTGGTAGGATGGCTAGTGGTAGGGGGTTGTTGTGTGAGAGAGACCCCCGTAGGTACCTGCACTCATTATCCCTGTTTTGGATTATCTCATCGTGGAACCGTAGGGCCCTGGCTTCTACCCTCTGGCGTTCTCCTTCTAGGAATGTTTGGGCTGATTCTAGGTTGGCTATTCCTTCGACTACGTCTCGCCTGGTACCCCACGGGGCTGCAGTAATCTTCTGTGCTACTGTGTATTGCCATTTTTCTATGTCTTTGATCTTGGTTGCTGGTGGAGACTGTCTTGAGTAGTCCTGCCATGCCCAGCATCCCCATGTGGCGATTGTGCGTGCGATGCTTGTATATATCTGTCGTTTCTTGCCTGGTGTGAGGCGAGTTAGTCTCGATGCCACTCCCCATGCTGCCTTCCCGAGAAGTAGTCTCTTCTTATGATGTCGAGTAAATTTTAGCTCCCAATCTACCGTCAATCCGGTTAGCCTATAGTCAGGGCCTTTTACCCCAATTATTAGTGTCTCGGACTTGTTTGGGTCAATTTCGAATCCATGCTCTGCTGCTGTTTCGGTGATTTTTGCCCTGTGTATCTTTATGGCTTGTCGGAGTTTTAGGAGTGACGGATGTGAGATTACACTGTGGAAATCATCGACATATGACCTGGTGAAGTTGTGTTGTTCTACCTTCGCTGCCACAGGTGCTACACCTATCAGGAATAGTACCGGGGATAGTGGAGATCCTTGCGGTGTACCATCTGTCATCCTCCCTGTAGCTCTCATTTTGCCATCCCATGTCATGTTGTAGTTGGTCGGCATCATAAAAGCTTCTACAAAGCTCGCTAGGTTATGGTCTGTTTGTCTTATTGGAGCAACCACCTTGTCCCTTCGAAGAAAGTTAAAAGCTGACTTGATATCGTCTCCCACTAGGGCTACCCATTCTTTCTTCTGTAGCCTCTTCTCTGTCTCCTTCAGCACTTGTCGCTGTAGATCCTCTGCACCTCGATGGCGTCTTCCTCCAAGCTGAGTGTCTCTGAAAAGGTCGTCTTTTCTTTGTAGCAGGTCTGCGATGACTTTTTGACCTAGCTTCGCTACTGTGTTCAGAAGCGTAATGGGTCTCCAACTCCCTACCTGATCTCTGGGTTTCCCTTTCTTGAGTATCATAACCACCTCAAAACCTCTGGCAAAATCGTAGTCACCGTTTATATATTCTACAATTCTCTCTCTTACAGCAGTCCATAGAGTCGTACCCTTCAGAAGCTTCAGTAAGCCATATTGTATGCCATCGGGTCCCGGTGCTGATCTTGGTTTAGCTTTTGTTAGTGCCTTTTCTATCATCATCCTGGCTTGATCTTTTTCGACGGTGAGTCCTGTTGGTCTGATAGTAGTG